AGCCTTAAGGGTACTCCTTTGTAAGTTAGGGACTTCTTTCTGCTTTTAGGATTTTTTATCTTTATATTTTGCAAATTTAATTACATTATGTCTTTGTGTTGGCCTGCTTTTGTTGATTCTGAGGGGAGTCCTCTGTGTCTCCTGGATCTGGATATGTTTCCTTCCTCAGATTAGAGAAGTTTTTAGCTATTATTTCCTCAAATAAATTTTCTGCCCCCTTTCTCTCTTCTTCTTCTGAGACTCCTTTAATATGAATGTTATTATGTTTGATGGAGTCACTGAATTCCCTAGGTCTATTCTTATGTTCCACAGTTCTCTTTTTTGTTCAGCCTCATTATTTTCCATTATTTTATCTTCTATATCACTTACTCATTCCTCTGCTTCTTCCATCCTTGTGCTCACTGCATCAAGTCTGTTTCAAATTTCAGTTATTGCATTTTTCATTTCTGTTTTTTAACTCTTTTATCTCTGTAGTAAGCCCTTCCCCCCCCCCCCAAATCTTCCACTCTTTTCTCAAGCCCAGAGTATCCTTATGATTGTTGCTTTAAATTCTCTATCAGGCATGTTACTTATATCTGTTTCACTTAGGTCTCTGGCCATGAACTGATCGTGTTCTTTCAAGATGAATTCTTCTGTCTTGGCATTTGTCTAAGTCTCTATCTTCTTCTGTGGGTTAAAAAAGCCTGTTCTGTTTCCTGCTCCTAAGAGTAATGGCTTAATGAAGGAAAGGTCATGTAGTGTCCAGGGCCTGGTGTTTCAGGGGGAAGTTTCTAGTGTTTGCTGCATGTACTCTGCTGCTGTGTTTTGGCTGCTTTATCCTTTTGGCTGGTTGTCTGCAGAGGCTCTCCTTGCCTGCAATGGGCAGTGTTTTGTCCTTGGCCAGAAGGTGTTATGTTTCAACTAGGTGTACTCTGGCCTACTTGTTAAATGAGACCTGCTACTACTTCCAGTAGAAATGAAGCCCTGCAGAACTCTCTGGCTGGTGATGTGGGCAGGGGTTTCTGCTGGTCTTCTGGGGAAGGGGCCCACTGTGCTGGCACTGAGGCAAACTTGATCAAGCAGGGCAGTACCAACGAAATGCAGGGTTGTGGGACTTGGTATAAGCAGGTTAGGCAGCCAGTGTTGGCGCTGTACTGATTATGACAGGTGTGTCTGTGTTTATGCTGGGGGGAGGGAGGGAAATGATGTCCGCCTGCTTCTTTGTCCCTAGAGAGGGGTCTCCCTGCCTGTTTCTCTCAGGAAATCACCTCAAGAAGAGCAAACAGTCTCCCCTCTGTGTGTCCCAGGCATTCCTCAGATCATTGTTTCCACACTATCTGGCTCCAGCTTGTCTGCCTTCTCTCCAGGGGCAGTGCAGTGACCTCCTGGCTCTAGCCAAGCCAAGCCTGCTGACCTTGAAGACTCCCAGGTTTTAGGGATGTGGTGTGGGCAGAGGCCTGTGCTGATCTCCTGGGGGAGAGTCTCACCATTCTAGGACTGAGGGAGGTTTGACTGAGAAGGGCTGTTGCACCAGAGCACAGAGGTGTGGGATTTGTTGCAAGCAAGCTAGGCAGCTAGTGTTGAGGTGAGCTGCCCTCCACAGGTGGCTCTGGGTTTACGCTGACAAGTGGGGGAGGGAAATAGTGCCCATCGGCTCCTCCTCCTTTGTCCCCGGACAGGTATCTCCTGCAGCTACCTCTCAGGGACAGCTCTAGGAAGAGTGAATTATCTCCTCCCTGTGTGTGAATGCCTCACAGGTGTTCCTCAGATGGCTATTTCCACAGGTCTGCCTCTGGGTTGTTTGCCTGCCTTCTTTGAGAAGCAAGGAAGTGCCCTCAGTGCTCTATCCTAGCCAAGCCCGGCTGACCTTTACAGCTCCAGTTTTGAGCCCTGCTGGATACAAGAACTCAGGAAAACAGCCTTTTCCCTTTTCCTTCCCAGCCAATGGCTTTGGGGAAGTGCTCTTGTGCATTCCCCTCACATTCATTATTTTAAATGAGTCTGGAGAGGAGAAATATGATTATATGAGTACAACCATATTTAAGTTTTTTTTAAAAGAATATAAAGTAATGCCAATCTTCTACAAATATTTAATAAATTAAAACAGAGCATCTAATTGTTATGTGTACCGTTAATTCAACTCAGTGCCATGCGATAAGAGCTGATTTCCAAGCGAATTTATCAATTGCTGAATTTAAAATATCTAGACTTATGAACATTTTATCTAATTAGAAAGTTAGAAATTTCCTTATTGAATCTGAATCCAGTAAGTTTCAGACTTTACAATGTCTGAGATTACTTAAATGATTAGACTCCCCATCATCTTTACCTGTAGTTTATCTTAAATATTTAGTTCATGAGAAAATCCTTCTGATTTAATATAGAGTAAATAAAGAACATAAAATTATGTAATCACAGTCCAATTTTTAAAAGGGATAAAGATAAGCATATATAAAAGACTACTAAATATATTAAAATGTTAATAGATGAACAAGAGACCTTCATTTTCTTATTTCAACCTTCTTATACATTCTTTATAATAAATACATATCAGTTTTATAATAACAAACAAGTATTTTCATGCAAATAGTTTCCTCTTAACTAGATTTCTGCAGAGGAAGAAAATAGCTGAAGATGTACAATATTGATAATTTATATGGATATGTGTTGGGGCACTTACATCTCATTTTTAGAGGTCTTATGTCTCCTATATCAATAGAAACTCAGGGAGGACAATTATGTTTATTTCTTTTGTAAGTTCCTGCAGTCCAAACTACTGTGTTCTGCAAAGGGGCATTGTATCCTCAGGGCCTAATCAAAGAAAAAAAAAAATTGTAAAATGAATCCCCTGAAACTAATTTGTTAGATCAGCAACTTTTCCCTACGCTAATATTTGTTATGGTTAAATCCAATAATTTATAAATACTGTCTTAAGTTGTAAAAATAGTCACATACTGTACCTTGGTATGTATTTTGTATACAATGTTTTATTATAATATCATTTCACTTAAGTAAGCAAATCATAAATCTTAGGATTTTAAATTATTACTGGTAATATTTTTTCAGAAAGTTCTAACTTTCTTTTAAATCAGTTATTTTGAAAGAGTTTCAACATTCTTACAATGTTCATTATATTTATTTGTTGAGCTTAAATCTGTTTCTAACCATTTTTCCTTAGAAAGGTTGATGGCAATATTAGTAAATGTATAAAGAACTTAGAAATTTGAGTCAACAAATAATGAATTTTAAAGTTAACAGTGCTCATATTAATTGTCACAAATTCACTTTGTTAGCCTATTACAAACTGCTCCCTACCCTCCCCCCAACCCCAGCCAATATCCACGTACACAAATTGGGCACATTCAATGGCCAGAATTAATTACAGGAGTGCACTGATTACTCAGGCTGCCCAAGGTGGGTGAGCTGTTGGACAATTATAAATAATGAAAGCTCATCTACGTAATTGCCAAAATTAATTTCAATTGGTTTTAAAAGAAATATTTCTAAAATGTTTAAGCTACTTTCCTTCCTTTTAGGCCAAGTATACGCTATACAATTTGATCTTTGGGATGACTTAGGATATTATCATAGTTTTTTAATTATATACTATGATACTTGGAGAACCATACTGATACTTCTTGGACTGTCTGTCCCTTCACTGGAAAGCTCCAGACTTAGATTTTGTTTTCTGTCTTTTCACCTCTTGCTATTTCCTGCTTTCCAGTCTGCTTATGAGCATCTGTTTACTTGTCTCTAATAAAGTATCCCTCCTCTTTTGGGTTTCTTAATCTATAGCAAACAATGAAGTCTCATTCTCTGGCCATTCAGAGATGAAAAATACATATGAAAAATACTGGTAGTCCTTAAAGCATTCAGAGTTTAATTATACCACAAAAGGGTGCTATGGGAACCCAGAGGATCATCATAAGAGAATGTGGGAATTTCAGAATGGCTTCCTGGAGGAGGTAGTTTGTTTTTGTGTTTTTTTTTAAAGATTTATTTATTCACTTGAGAGAGAGAGAGTATGCAAGTGGTGGTATGGGGGAGGCAGAGGGAGAGAGAGTTAGAATCCTCAAACAGACTGAGCACAGAGCCCAACTAGGGGTTTGATCCCAGGACCCCGTGATCATGACCAGAGCCAAAATTAAGAGCTGGTCCCTTAACCGACTGAGCCTCCCAAGTGCACTGAGGAGGTAGCTCTTTATGACAGATGAATGAATAGGACCTGATAGGCAAAAGACAGTGAGAGAATGGGTAGTGGAGAAGATCAAGTGTACAGTCAAAGGAAACAGCATGGTAATAATAAAAACAATACTTTATATTTATTGAATGCTTCTGTAAATTAACTTAGTAAAATCCTCATAATGTATCTATGAGGCACGACTATTCCCATTTTAAAGATTAGGAAACTGGCACCGAAAAAGTGTTTTGCCCAAGTTCACACAACTAGTTAAGCTGCAAAGTCAGGATTTGGACTTAAGCAGTCTGGCTCTAGAGCTCACACTATTGACTCCCATGCTATACTGCTTGTTTATGCAAAGTTATGAAAGCAAGAGAGAATCTACTACAAGTAATATATAAAGCGGGAAGAAGATAAATGAGTGCTGCAGAACAAAGAGGCAAAAACTAGCTCGAAGGAGATTTGTATGCCAGGCACACGTGTTTGGATTTTACCATGTTTATCAAACCAGCAGACTGAATGGCAGGATCTGATTGCCTTTGATAAAGATTTCTGTGAGCTCTGAATGAAGAAAAACAACCAGAGGCTAGAAGTCCATTTAGGAGGCTATTCCAAAACTCTGTGAGAGGGGATAGAGACCTAAACCAAAGCAACAGAAGTGGGAATAGAAAGGAGGGGACAAGGGGCACCTGGGCTTGGTCAGTTAAGTGTCCGACTCTTAATTTCAGCTCAGGTCATGATCTCAGGGTTGTGAGATTGAGGCCTGCCCCCCACTTTGGTTGTGTGTTGGGTATAGAGCCTGCTTGAGACTCCCTCCCTCTCCCTCTGCCCCTCCCCACCCCCACTCTCTCTCTCTAAAAAAAAGAAAGGAAGGAAGAAAGAAAGGGAGGGAGGGAGGGAGGGAGGAAGGAAGGAAGGAAGGAAGGAAGAAAGAAAGAAAGAAAGAAAGAAAAAGAAAGAAAGAAAAGGAAAGGAAAAAAACAAAGAAATAAAGGGAGAGGACAAATTAGAGATAAATTATGATATTGAATTCATAAAATGTATGACCCAAATGAGGAAAATCAGTGACAGGGAGAAATTAAATAAAACTATAGTCAAAGGAGAAAACAGATGGAGGGTGGTAGAGGTGTATAAAAGGTTCATTTTAGACATGTTTGAGGTGCTTTTGGAACAATAACAACATAAAAACAGCCAACACTTACACTGAACTTCTCATGTGCCAGACTCTGGTCAAAGAACTTTGTATGTGTGAATCCACTGAATTATCAAGGCGACCCTCTGAGGTATTCAAATTTCATTTTACATGAGGCATCTGAGAAGCTAACTCTGCCCAAGGTCACACAACTATTAAGTGGCTGAGCTGGGACTTGAACCAAGGCAGCCTGGGTCAGAGAGTATTCTGCCTTTAATAGAGCCACGTCAGTTGTAGAGATGGATTTGGCATCCAAAAAAAGTGGTTTAGACTAAACATAAAAATTTAGAAGTCATCAATAAATAGAGATGGCAGCTGAAACTGTGAGTATTCACTTAGATATAGAGAATGCAGCTAGTTTTTCTCTAAGTGTGGATACCTTGAGGGTATTTGTCAAAAGTGCAGATGAGAGGGCATCACCCAGGTCCACAGAAACAACCTCTGGGCCCGGAAATAATTTTCACTCCCCAGTTGATTCTTATGCACATTCGAGTTTGAAGATCACCGATGAGGAATGAACAAAATAATGTGCGTAACAATGACATTGTGTCTTAGAAGTGTGTCTACTATAAAAATAAACAAGTGCCAAAGAAGGGTGCTTAAGTAAAGGCCTAACCAAGTGTCTTGATGGGTCTTTTCTCAAATCTAAGCCACCATCTACTATAAGATGCATTGTTTTTTCATGTACCGCAAGAAAAAAAAAAACAGAGACTTCTCAAAGCTGAAACAAAAGAAAGGCTACAAATGAAGAGAAGGATAAATGGAAAATAAACCCACCATGCAGAAAGAAACATCAAGGAAATTTGGAAATCTCTACCTTTCAAGTACTAGGCACCAAGTAGAGGGAATAGTAACTCAAAGACAGTTCTTACACTGCTTTATACTCTGAATTCATACTACCAGTGAGATTAAAAACAAACTCTTAAATAGAGAATTTAATTTAAAATGGTCCCAGGTTGGCAGTCATGCAAACGACTGATAGAGGAAAATGCAAAACCTCTCTGAAGTAATCCTACTTTAATTCAGGCCAATAACGATTATAAGACATATCATTATTTTAGAACTTTTCTTAAATCTGAAAAAAAGTCTTAGAATCACCGAAACACAATAAATGGAAAGTCCAGCAAGCCATTCTGAATGCCCAGAAACTGGGATGGAGAGGCCAATTTCTGGTTCTCAAATGTACTCCATACATAATTTTGTATGGGTATTGATTTATTTTTACTGGTAAGAACTATAAAAGGTTATTAAAAATTATAAAAATCCTTTCCCTTCCCACATTTAACAATGTTTTATAATTCCACCAAATATAAAAATCTCACCCATAAAAAAATTATAAAATAAACTAAACAACCAACAAGTGAGATCAGACCACTGCTACCCCAACCTCATGTAAATGCTTTAATATTCTCTGGGACTCTGAGAACTAGATTGCCAGGCTCCCCACAGGCCCTGGTAACTGTCCAGACACAATAGGAGAAAGAGCAAACTTTGCTCCTGCCAAGGATGATGATTTATAGTCCCAGTCCGATACTCAGTATTTCATCTTTTACTCACAGGCCACAAACACACTAACCAAATACTTGCATTACATCCAGAGCATTCTGGTCCTTTTTAAGAAAAATTAATCCCTTTTCAACAATGCCATCATAAAAAAAAATTCCTTTAGCATTTTTATAATTTTCCAGAAAAGCTGAGTATTCCTAGTTCAGGCATGCATTTTCCATCTTTTCCAAGGATAGGATAAACACTGCATAAATTATAAGCCATAGCTGTTCTGGCATCTTATAAAACTGCAATTTCATATATAACAAGCATATCATCATTAGAAGACTAAAATGGCGGGGTGCTTGGGTGTCTCAGTGGGTTGGGACTCTGCCTTCGGCTCGGGTCATGATCTCAGAGTCCTGGGATTGAGCCCCACATCGCGCTCTCTGCTCGGCAGAGAGCCTGCTTCCCCCTCTTTCTGCCTGCCTCTTTGCCTGTGATCTCTCTCTCTGTCAAATGAATAAATAAAATCTTAAAAAAAAAGACTAAAATGACTTTAGAATGATAATAAGCACCAACTGATCATTGTGAGGAGTTCCCTCATTAAAAAAAATTTTTTTTTACAAAGAAACCACTTATTCAACCAACCACTGCTAGCTTTTCCCTGCTTTTGGTGGGTAAAGGTCCTCAAAGTCCCTCTCACGGCACAGTCCTGTCTAAAGTAACTAATACAACAATTCAAATCTGATTCCCACTCTTGTCACGCCCTGCCAGAGCATCTCTTTCACTCAGGAAAACTGTTTCCTACCCCAAGAGCAAATGTGTACTTGTATCTATGATACAGGGATTTTCTAAGACTGTGGAAAATGAAGTATCTCACATCCTTATCTATAATTTAATATTCACTTATCCATAGAAATAAGGGAATACTGTTTTTATACTGCCACTGTT